CCTGGCTGTGAATGATTCAGTAAAAATGAGCTGAAATTTTTAATTTTTAACCTTTTATAGGTACTCAAATTATCTTAATTTCTAATTTCAAGATTCTGGCTTGATTTTTGAACAACCTGAAATGGCACTAGGAGAGAGGGTTTTAAAACGTTCACTTTGACTAGGTGCATGTTTGACATTTGGTGTTGCGTTTTTTAAAATCAACAGTAGTTAGTAATGTATCCCCAGATCTGCTGCTGATTAAATCACGTTGCCCCTTGCACTGTTTTGCTTTTTTCTACTCATGGAAGTATTGATAATTTTACTCCATCTGTCCGTAAGCACTGTAAAATATCAGAATAGTGATCTGCAAGAAGTGCTGTGTAGCACGAATGTATTTCCCATTTGAACATCAAATTCATGTAACCTCAAGAGCAAATAATTAAATAACTGAGGGAAATTTTGAAACTAATACTGAAGTAGCAGAGTTAATTTTTGTATTCTGCAGACTGTGTCCTGCCATACCTCTGGGGAATGGCTCGCTGTTCCGTTTCAGACACGTGTTTTTTACTGACAGCAGAGAACCTGCCTGTCTTACTCTTGCTAACCACAGAATACAGCCAGGAAAAGGTGTCACAACAAGCCTGTGCGCCCCCTTGCAGGTGCGATACGCCAGACGTAGTTGTTTTTCCCAAACCAGTGCTTCACAGCATTACAGCTTCGTTTTACAGATACATGGATACAATTACTTCGATAAGGAAATCACTGTTCTTCTTGTACATGCTATAAAATACGGTGCAACTAAACTGCAGGTGATTGATACCAATGCTGTTAACTCTGAGCTGCTTGACGACATGGTGCTGTTGTGGAAGGCGGGGAACTCCAGCGCCTGACGAGGTTTGAAACTGAGCAGGAGTGGAGAGGTGGGAGCTGCCGCTTCACCTGAGTGCTTCTCTCCTTGAACCCCAGCTCAGTTAGGTTGAAAGGCTGAATTTCCTCTGCCTTAGGAGCTCATCAAGTGCTTTGAAGCCCTTACCTTACACAGAAGTAGGATTCAAATGGAGTTTCAGTATTTTCTTCCTGGTACGAAAACCTCATCTTTATTTTCCCCTGACTCCGAAACCATGTCCCTCCAAAAGCTTCTGCTATTGCTTGCCTGTGGTCTTTGACACGTGCCATAGATGGCCATTTCTGGCCATTGCATAACTAGAGGTGACTTGATGGCAAATATATCAGTAATTTTACCTATAACAGAAAAGTCAGCAAATTTTAAACATAAAAAATAATTTAGACATACATTACGTTATTTTTTTTTAATGATTGTTGCACTATTTTTGCGTGGACCAGATCTTTTTTTTTCATGTTTTCAGTATTGATACGAAATGAGGATGTTATAGAAATATTTCTACTAGGAAGCTATAAAGTCTGCAGAGACTTGGAAGAGAACAGAGGTGGCATCACAAACTAAGCTTGATGAGATCCTAATGTAAAAACAATTATAACTATAGTATAGTAAAGTAGGAGAAACCCCTTTGTCCCCATTTTATAGAAAATCCTGAAATATATAAGAAAGAGTTTTGGTTGGGTTTGGGGTTTTTTGTGGTTTGGTGTTTTTTGTTTTTGTTTTTTTTTTTAAAAAAAAAGTGTGTTTCTTACAGTATGGTGCAGTTAGACACCTCCACTCCGCTGTTAGCACCCAGCTAATCCACCTACCCTAGAACTTGCTCATAGTTCTGGCCTCTTCCCAGAAAAACAGTCTATAGAATTAAGTTTTGAGGTATGCAGAGACCTAGTAAAGAAGGATCCAAATCATTGTGAGAATGCCACATCACAGGGTGTACTTTATTCCTTTTTAAAATTTGCCTGTCATTTTGTAAAATTTACCAGCTCAGCAGGTCTCCCAGTCAACAGAGTAAGTGAAGTTCTTTGGTGCCGTGCATTTGCCTTGATAATTATTCTGAAGCAAATTGGTACATTTGTAGTTCTAATTTTATACAGCTACTTAACTAATTACTGCTGTCAGTAGCAATTTTTATCTAGTAGTAATGTTCGGCTTAGCTGCATGTTACAGCTCCAGTGACCACCTCGTAGCCAGCATGTTTTATGGTTCGACTTGAAAAGGAAAACTGCAGGTACCTGTTTGAAGAGTTGGTTGAAATCCTGTGGGGGTTTTGTGGTTTGTTTTTGCAAAACACTTACAGTACTGGCCGGAGTAAAGGCACTGACCCGCTTGGGTACCAGCTGCTTAAGAAGCTGCCACAGTTGTAAAAGGCAGGGACATCAAGCAAGTGCTGCTTTCGCTCTTGTTTAGAGACCCTCATTAAATTATCTAGAGACAATAATCAGATAGCTGCTGTTCAAGCTAATGGCACCTCTGAGCCCCTGTCAAGAGAGCTTTATTTAATGCGCAACAGACCTGGAGTGGTGCAGGTGCCATTTCAGGCCCTCATTTAATTTAAGCTGCTTTAGTTGGCATGGCAACTAGTTGAGACATCTGGGAGACATTATGCTTGGGATTGAGATTTAGGAGGATTTGTGGCGTAGCAAAACAAAAATCTTATCATAATAAAGTGCAGAGTAATGCTTTTGGATTTTTTTAATATTTTACATTAAAAGTGAAATTTAAAGATTTGTTGCAGCCATAAGGTAAAAACCAAATTTTAAAAGGCTGGTATAAATATTTAAGAGGGGCTTTGCGAAAGGAAAAGAAAAATTAGAGGAATAGAAATTATGGTGCTGGAGGGTTGGTTTTTTTCTTTATGAATTCTTTATGAATGCAAGTTTAATTTTGGTCCAAAAGTTGCCAATATTTAATTTTCAAAATTAATTTTTGTGTGATGTGCTGACGGCGGATGAACAATTTGGCTGATAGGGATTTGGCCGGATAGGGTTTGCGGGGCAACAGATGGAAGGAGAGCATCGATTAGGTAGAGGTGACAGAAAATACAAGTTTTCTTTAGATTGTTGTAAGTGCATCTTGACCTGTGCCAGTTAATTGGTGACAGTGGTGAGGACAAGTAGAAGTTTCTGCTGAAGCTGACTTGCCTGCTGTGTTACCAAGAGATAAAGATCTTGACTGAAGTCAGGGTTTACTATTATATTTTGGACTTGACATGTAGCAGAGCTGGCTGTGGAGAGCATTGAACCAACTGAGAGGCTCCTACAGGATAATGGTGAGATTTGGGAACAAACCCAACCCAACCCCTCCACGCTCACCTAGTGAGCTTTGCTTTCAGAGGAAAGGTCAGGGCGGCACCCTCAGAAAAATACTGCCAGGAGGTCCGTGAGTTTGTGAAGGTCCCGGAGCTCAAGCGTGGAGGCTGGAGGAGGAGCAGAACTGACGCGTGCGACCCCCACGTTCAGGTGGCGCCCGCTGGAGGAGGGCAGCTGAGCTGCTGCCGCTTCTCGCAGCTGATCGGTTCGTGGCTTTGGAAGGCTGAGAGCTGACTGCTGCTTCACCTTGCACCGGGAATGAACCTGGGGCACCAAGGGAGGTACTAGGCTGGGGCCCAGGAGAAGCAGTTTTAGTTCTAACTCTCTCCCTGGTCTTTTGCGTGACCTTGGCCGCATGCTCCACCTCTCTACCTCGTTTTTGTTGATTTTGAACGTTGCAGGGCTTGGTGTGACATGTAATGCCTAATGCCTAACACAGGGGTCTCAGTGAGATGTTTGAAACGTTGCTGTAAAGTGGATTCACTTATGGCTACTGTGTTTTACCTTCTTCAGTCACAAAAGTAATAATATCAGAGATTTCTGTTTCAAATATGACTGCTAGAGGTAGCTTTTAAAGCAGTAATGTTTCCTAATTATCAAGCTTATTCGTTGTACAAGTTGAAAGTTCTCAGTATTGCAAGTGCAGTCCTTGAAAGCTGAGGTGCTGCGGTCTGGCTTTAAACTCTGTTCTGAACCACAGCTCCACAATCAAAACTTAATTTGCCAGTTGTTTGTGAGGGACACGGAGCACAGCAGAGGCGGCTTCTCCCCAG